TCGCTCACGCCGCAGTGCCGGCACTGCTCACCGCTCACCCGCGGCTGCTAGAGGGGACCCGCCGGTCCCTGGGCTGCCTCTACCGCACCAGCTCCCCGCCGGGCCCTCGCTGCGGCTGGGCCGCGCTAGGAGCAGCTCTGAGCAGCGGCCCTTACCAGGGAGCTGAATTTAGCAGGCAGGCAGCGGAAAGTACTGCTCCATCTTAATTGCAAACTTTTCCCTCTATCATGTGTAGCAAAAGTAGGATTTTGAACAGAACTTAGGAAAGCTTGCAAGCTTGGTCACTTTATTGAACCGTCGATAACTACGGGAAAAAAATACTCTGTACTTCAACACAACTGTCTACCATAGTAATTCAACAACTCCTGGAAGTGTGCTGCTGCTTCTCAAGCTTGTTTTTTTAATGTATTTTATACTGTAAGACTTCACTTACATCTTTACCAATTTAAAACACAGGTGTCTGTACTGGATGTTTTTTCTCCACAACTTCCTTCTCAGTTAAATGCTGCACTAGTAATGTTCCGTGCTCAGGAACACCATTAGTTTTAACAACTAATATAGAAGGCAAAATAATACACTCCCTATTTTTCAGTCCTGTGATGCTTTCCAGCACAGACTTCCAGATAACACTAGGATGGTTTTACATTGCCATAGCTGCATGATCAAAATGACACCTATGAATTTTTTGAAACACAATCTCACCTTGTCTGGTGCTCTCGTCTGATTGATAGTACAAAAACTGGAACGACATCTTGATGGGTAATACAAAGCTTTCTACTTAGATTTTTAAAGTGCAGCTGGAGGGAAACAGCTTCACTGAGGGAAATGGGTTTTACATCGCTGAATTGTTGTATATCAGCATTCTGTGGCTTTGTCTTGCCATTACAGCGACTCTTCTCTGCAGCACTTCCTTCAACAGATGATGTTTTATCCATCATCTTCATATAAACATCATTTAATATATATTTCCCCAGATATTTACTAGCAGCTGTTGTTGATAAAATAGCCAGATTCCACCTATACAAGTGAAGTTACTCCTTCCACTCTGAAGAACGACATCTAGAAGCCATTCTGGAACTTACAGCGTATTACAGATGAAAACTAATGGAAATGAACATTCGTGATTACATTTCCATACAGACATCTCATGTACATACACAGGTGTGAGGGAAGGGAAGCAGAAAAGGAAACTACTTCACCTTTTCGGCAAATAATCCCTCGATTTTGTTCTATGAGGCTGATAGCAAACCAGAACCACTGTCAGGTTAGGAATTGCGCAAGCCTCAAAGCCAACCTAACTAAACAAAACCCCACCCTGCAAATGAAGAAATATATAGTGTTTGTCTGCCAGGGGCTTTTTTTAAGTAACATTCGCTGCTCTGCGGAAAGCCCCACGGCAAGTGAACCATTCCTGTCTTGCTGAAGAGCCTTCAGCGAGATGGAAACACCACTGAATCAGACTGCAGCTAATGCAAAAGAAAAGCGGACTCTCATGCAACACAGGGATCAGCTCATCAGAAATATTGGCAAAGGCCCTGCCTGCTACAATCTGCTCATGTTCTACTCTCACCATCTGATCAATGTAGTACAAAACCAACCTGAAAACACCACACAGTTCAGGAGCAGCAGCTATGATACTCACAATGACAAAACGTAATTTGCTGCTAACCCATGCAAAGAAAGAAAAAAATATGTTTTAAGATGTGCTTTTTTTTTAGAATAAAATCAACAGAACAGGTATAGAAAATGCCTCATCTCAGCCCTAGTGAAAAACATTAACAAAAATATCAAGCTACGTGTCCTGAAATAGCAAAGCTACTAAAAGACAGGTTTATAGCAACCATTTTTTGTATTTTAATTACAAACGCATTAAAAATCACAGGAAATATACTGGGCTTGTACCTAGTCAACATCAGAAACTGAAGATTTGCAATGAATATAAACAAACAGGTATATTTACAGAGTTTATTAGAAACCATACATACATACATTAGGAAAGGATGTACTGTACCTACTCATTGCAGCCTGCATGTCAAAGAACTGAGATCTCTTCAGTTTAGCAGTCTTAGTGCAGAATGGATTACAATTAGTTTACTGACCAGAGTTCAAACAAAGTGGAAGTTTTATATTGTGAACCAAGTACCTTATGATCACATGAGTTATTTCTCTTTTAAAATTATTTTGAAGTAAAAAAAAAACCAAACCAACTCTGCCACATGAAAGCAGCCCCTGTGCATACAACCTCTCCCACGTACCCGAGCTCATTCACCCCTGCAGTATCCAGGCGTCAGTGTAGCTCTCACAAACATCCCGTGAAGTCAGTGGTTCTGCTGAGACAGTCAGCCGCACATAGTCAGCTACGCACTTTTGCACCAAGCATAACTCAATTCATACTACAGAAAAAAAGCACCTGTTATTCTCAGGAATATACAAATATTTACCACAGTTTTTCTTGCTCATTACAAAATCAGTTACAAAAGCTTACAGCACATTATGTACAAATTCTATCCAAACGCGCAAAGGAGCCATTGCTGGCACGCTGCCTAACAGCATCAGTCGTCACTTCAAGCTGCAGCCAGCTCGCTCCTCTCCCCATCCACATCAAACTGAAACGCTGCAGGTGTCTCATGCACAGTGCCATAAATACTCTTTGGGTTGGTATTTCAGCAGAAGAGAGTTAGTTCTTCTTGTGGAGGAACTTCATTTTGTTTCCTAAAGAAAGCACACCATCAGTCTCCAGCATACACTGAATGGAAGATCAAAAACTACTTAGAAACTGAGCCTAATCTGTCACGTAACTGCTGTAGCAGGGACAGCCGACTAACAAGATCGTGAGCGGTAGCTGCCTTCCTTTTTTCCTCCTCGGTTATGATTTAGTGGCCCCTCCAAGTGAACGTTGAAGTGTTAACAAAGATCATCATTACATCTGGTTTTGTCAGCTTTAAGTACCCTTTCATTGTTTTCCTATAACATATCGAAACTGGCTAATTACCTGGTTTCACTTCAGGTAATTCTTAAATTAAAAAAACAAACAAACAACAATCACAAAAATGAAAATTCATTTCAGAAATAGTTATACAGATTTTTCTCACCAAGGCCTCGCAAAAACTTGTTTACTCCGCTTTGCTCTGTGTCTGGAAGCTCTTCCAAATACTGCTCAACCCTCTGCTCGAAGAGACCTGGGGAAGACGGAAGACAGCGGGGCTGGGTCAGGCCGGATGCGCTCCCCCAGCCCCTCCGCGCACTGCCCGATCTGTGCTCTCAGCTCTCGGCCTCTGTAACGCTATCAAACGCCATTACCGGTACGCGACCGTTGTTTCACGCGGCATCACGGCCGGTACCGAAAGCCCCAGCCGTGACCTGAAGGGTAACGGATTTAGGGCCAGCAGAGCCGTAAAGCGAGGGCGAC